ACCCTAAACCCTAAACCTTAAAGGATCCTACTAGGTTCAGGCCGGAGCTCTCTCTGCCGGTTCCTTGTTTTCTGAAGCCTCCATGTGGGCGGTTCTCTAAATCAGGGTTTTTTTAGGGTTTAAGGTTTAGGGTTTAGGGTTTAGGGTTTCCATGTGGGTGGTTCTCTAAATTAGGGTCCCTTTAGGGTTTAGGGTTTAGGGTAGTTCTCTAAACTTTGGTCCCTTTAGGGTCCCTTGTTATAAAGGTGCCGTACTATATTTGGGACCAAAAACGGGACCCTAATTTAGAGAACTACTCATGTTACTCCTGATCCCCAGGGGCACGGCCTTTCTGGAGACGGACAAGGAATGAGCTTCATACGGTTGGTGATATAAACCCTGCATTACCCACAATAAGGACTATGCCACAATTCCCATAGCTTAGGGCTGAAGGCCCTTAAGGTAATGCAGGATTTATATCATCAACAGTAGTCTGCTGTTTCAATGACAAGTAGTAGCCTTCAAAGAAGCCTGACAAAGAGGAACCGTCAAACGACAACTATTTATGAGGTTACCTGCCAAAGCGCAAGGGATCGCTTCAAAACCTCACAAACATGTAAACGAATCCAACCCTGACGCACTCGAAACGAACCCTTTACAGGAGCCCGAAACCCCACTGCCCTTCCGAGGACCGCGCGGCCGCAAAGATTGCCGAAGCGTGCAGAAAACTTCGTCTTGTGGGCCTCGGCAGCTACGGCTCTTTTGGGTTTGAGGGCTTATTGGGTTTAGGGTTTGCGGTTTATAAATCTTGTTTGCTTACACCAAAGGGCTATGGATCATAGGTATTATACAAGGGCTCCTTATATGGGTGTGTTCTGCAAGGGGCGGGGCTGATAGAATTTATGAGGCTTAGGGTTTGCAATTGATGCACAAGGGGTCCCTGAACTTAAGGTTAAGGGGTTTGGGGTGGAGGGTTTTGGGGCTCTGGTTTTCGGGCTCGAGTACCGGACGAACCACTTCGAAGACTCATTCTCTAAGGCTTTTGGGCGCCACTTCCATCATGTGCAAGCCTGTTGGGCACAACTTGGAGGTTCATGGGTAGTGAAAAGTCGGGTTATAAGTCCCTGAATATGGGTTATAACTATAGTTACCCTAATTATAACCCCACTTATAGCTACCCATGAATCTCCAAGAAGGTGAAGACAAAAGCTCTAAGCCCTAAATCCTTCAAGACTTACCTGTCGTCTCCATCGTAGTTCCTTTTTTGGTTGAACCAATTATATATTAAGGTTTTTATAAGGCATACCCAAAACGGAACGACAATGGAGACTATAGGTAAGATAAATAAACTCCGCAAGACTCCACCTCATCGCTAAACCCTAAACCCGATCGATCACGCCAAGGACCCTAAACCCAAACCCCTACACACAGACCCTCCACCTAGCCCTACGAAGCCTTGTGAAACCGCACAGAAAAAACCCTAAACCCAAAACCCTAAATCCTAAACCCTAAACAAGCCTTCAGGCAAAGCCCCCAGGATCCTTCAACGCGAGTGCCGGGCTCAACAAGGAGAGGCGTACACTGTCCTGACGGCTTGCAGGGCATGCAAAAGGCTTCGAGTTTGGGTTTAGGGTTTAGGGTTTAGGGTTTAGGGTTTAGGGTTTAGGGTTTAGGGTTCTTCGAAGGTGCTCTTATAGGCTTCAAAGAAATTTAAACAGGTTTTTTGAGCTAAACCCTAAACCATAAACCCAAAAGTTTCAAGGGCAAAAAGCCTGAAACTGCAGCTTAAGGATTCTGTCAGGCTTTTTAGAGGGCCTTCCAGTAGAGGGGTTTCTGGACGTAGCTTTCCTCGTACGGGTCTTTTCAAGGGCTTCGGGCTGAGGGTTCTTTGGCTCATCTATCCCTTAGCCCTAAACTTGGCCCTAAACCTTAAAACCCTAAAAACCGCAAACCCTAAATCCTAAAACCCTAAACCCTGAAACCCTGGAACCCCTAAAGCCCTAAACCCTTGAAAACCGTACAACCCTAAATGCTTAAGTCCGTGTGAAGCATCGTCGGGTTCTCCTGGGTTCCTGAGCAGCACTCTTTGTTGGTGTGGATGTTAGGGGTTTAGGGTTTAGAGATTAGAGTTTAGGGTTTAGGGTTTAGAGTTTAGGCTTTAAGGGTTAGAGTTTATAGAAAGTGTGAAGGGTTTCGGTACCAATAACGTTTTGTGCGAAACGTTTTGACCGAAACTTTTTTTTGCGGCTGGGCTGGGGCTGGGCTGGGCTGGGCTGGGGCTGGGGCTGGGGCTGGGGCTGGTGCTGGGGCTTTGGCTGGGGCTGCGGCTGGTGCTGAGGCTGTGCCTGGGGCTGGGGCTGGGGCTGGGGCTGGGGCTGGGGCTGGGGCTGGGGCGGGCTGGGCTGGGGCTGGGCTGGGCTGGGCTCGGCTCGGTGGCTGGGCTGGGCTGGGCTGTTGGGCGGCTGAGTGGTGGGGGCTGGGCTGGGCTGGGGGCTGGGCTTGAAACGGAAATTGGTTTATTCGAAAATGGCAATCCGGATGGCCAACAGCAACAAGCAATTTTTATTTATCCCTTTCTTGAGGATTTAGGGTTTGGGGTTTAAGGGTTTTTGTTTACGATTATTGGTTTGGGGTTTAGGGGGTGCTAGGATTGAGGGGACCATTTGGGGTATAGACCCTCTCAGTATGGTCCCATTTAAGGTGCAGGAGGACAGCCTCAAAGTTTGTCAACAGAAAATGACATTAGAAGGAACCTTTCGGTACCCTGTCACGCCTGCCAAGTCCGATGGAACCCCTGCCACCGTAACCAGGACCGTAACATGGAAATAAGCAAACGCTAGCTTCTGCACCAGAGCGGAAGCTTCACTGAATCCACTGAAACTCTGTGTGCGAACTCACCCTGGTTGCCCGGCATTTGCCTGCGAGCGTGCCAGTGCCGCCGCTGCTTGAGGAAGAAGCGCGACAAAGGAACGCTTGCCAAGCCCGATTCGTTGCCGGGATTATTGGTGCAAGAAGAGCTCCGAATACCTTCAGCTTTTGGCACCGAGCACCACTCCACAGCCCCGGCTGCAAGCCTCAAGCTGTAAGCTTCCAAGAGCCCCGCCCGGTGTCGCGACGGATTGCCTTGCTCATTGCCGGCCATTGCTCCCGAAGGCGGCCGAAGTCCATGACAGATATGAAGATGCTGTCTGGTACATGAGCCCCAGACCAACAACCACCATGCGGGCCAAGCCAAACCCGAAACCGCCAACGCCCACCCCTAAACCCCTTAACCCCAAACCCTAAATCGCCCACATCATGGACTCATCGACCCTTAATTAAGCGCTCTAGACCCTAACCGAACCTCCTAAGCCTTATAAACAGCCTTATACCTTGAACTGAAAGTTCCCAGCCAGGAGACCAGAACATACACCACCCCAAACAGGATTTTAGGGTTTAGGGTTTAGGGTTTAAGGTTTAGGCTTTAGGGTTTAGGACCCTAACCCTAAACCCTAAACCCTAAACCCTAAACCCTAAACCCTAAACCGTGGTAGGGAATGAGCCCAACCCCCAAGCACCTGCTTCGGCGTCTTGGCAAAGCGAGCCTCACAAAAGGCTCTCTGGGGTTTAGGGTTTAAGGTTTAGGGTTTAGGGTTTAGGGTTTGGGGTTTAGGGTTTAGGGGTTTAGGGGTTTAGGGGTTAGGGTTTAGGGTTGACGGGTTTAGAGTTTAGGGTTTAGGGCTTACATCAAGCATAATGAAGAGGATTTCGAGGGGTAATGTAGGGGCCCTACAGCCTAAACCCAAAATAACCCCAACCCCCCCAATTAACTATCTAACTAAGTCCCTAATTAAGTACTTCGAAGCGAACCACCGGACCACCTGTCACCAGAGAGCCCACCATGCCGTCACGAAGGACTGTGCCCTGCCTGTAGTCTCCATTGTAGTTCCTTTTCGGGGATACCTTATAAAAAATTCTGAATATATAACTCGTTAAACCAAAAAAAGAACTACAATGGACACTATAAGAGGAACATACTACCCAGGCCCAGGTCTTCCTCAATTCAGGAGTTTAGGGCTTAGGGTTTAGGAATAAGTAGGAGTTGGGGATACAGACCCGCTCAATTCATAAGTGGGGTTAAGAAGGGGCCCCTTTAAGGGGTCTCCGGGTCTCCTAATACTGTGAATAAGCCGTAAGTTGGGGTCCGGTTTAGGGTTTAGGGTGCAGGGTTGAGGGTTTAGGGTTTAGGGTTCAGGATTTAGGGTTTAGGGTTCAGGGTTCAGGGTTTAGGGCTCAGGGTTTAGGGCAGCTCAATCCTAAAGTTTGAGCCCTTTCACGCTGCCTTGAAGACGCTGACGCCCCGATGATCATCCACGGATACCTGCGCCACACCGGGGGGGCTACAGAGGTTTAAAGCTTCTTCTTGGGCAGAACGGTTTCGAAAGGGCGGGCCATGTCAATGACAGCATCCGAAGCCCATTGTTTTAGCTTAAACCTTATTAACCCTAAACCCTCCAAGAGCCTAGAAGCTTGCCCCCGATCCCTACCATCGGAGCGACCATCGGAAGACCTACATCGTCCTCGAACCGTAAGGCCTTATACCCTGAAACCCAACACCCGACACCCTAAACCTTCAACCCCTAAACCCGCGACCCTTAATCCTTCAATCCCGAAACCCTAAAACGCTAAACCCTAAAACCGTAAACCCTAAACCCTTAGAGGCCCTAAGTCGTAAGCCGGAGCAGATGTTGAACCCTAAAGACGCCCGCCACAGCGTGGCCTCTTGGCCCGTGGCATCAGCTAAGTTCGGCAGAAACAGCACGCACCTCATCGGTTTCGGGAGTACCTAAACCCCCAACAGTAGGTGAAATAATTGCCGAAAACCAATAAATAAGGAGCTAGTACTCTACATACTTTTGGGGTGCAGGTAAGCTTGAGGGTTGAGGGTTAAGGGGGTAAGGCTTAGGGCCCAGATTCGGGGTGAGAAGGGCTTTCCCCAAAACTGTTGGCATCTCGGTCTCTTGTCGGCTAAGCATGTAGGGAGGGAGGCCTCAAATTTCACAAAGGAAAAACTGCGGGCATTCATTAAACATATTGGTTCCTGCTGCTTTTTGGTTACAATTACTAGGTCAGAATTATAATACTACAGCTCTAACCAGGAACCCTGAGATATAAATGCGGAACAGTCGTGAGTCTTCTATATTTAGGGTTGCGGACTTTACAGAATGGTTCTGGAAGCCTCGCATGTTTAGGCTTTTGAAGTTTAAGAGTGTAGGAGTCAGCTCTTCAAGGTGCAGGAATCGCAGTTCTGCGTGTAGGAAAAAGCTTTAGGCCTCATACTCTAAGGGTCCATGTACCCAAATAGTAGATACTATGGCCTTGAAGCAGTCTCTATATAGGTACTTTGGGGTCAAAGTATATACCATTTGGGCACAAGGACCCTTACAGTTACGGCTTAAGTCTGAAGGGTTGAAGCTTTGGTCTTATACTTCTGGCTCGAGGCACATCGATAAGTGCTCCCGTAGTTTGCTCCGCTTGATTTCGGAGTGATCCCGAAGAAGACGTCTGTGCGCACAGTAGCTAGCTGTGTGCATGATACACGTATGATCCCCTAAACCCTAAACCCTAAACCCTGAACCCTAAACCCTGAACCCTAAACCCTAAACCCTAAATCCTAAAATTCATGCTCGGAAGCTTCTGTGATGACCAGCCAACTCGTTCGGCTTCGAAGCCTTTACGGTGGACATTGAACCCAAAGGCTCCATGTACCTTTATAGTTTAGGGTTTAGGGTTCAGGTTTAGGGTTTAGGGTTTAGGGTTTAGGGTTTAGGGTTTAGGGTTTAGGGGATACTTAAGCCTGAAAGGGGTCCCTATATAGGTACTTTAACGCCTAAGTACCTACTACATGGGTACATGGAGCCTTAGAGGAAGCTGTTCACAATCACGCCGCTTCCGTTGTCCCCATGCACCATCAGAGTGATGGGGCTCACAGTTCCTGGGTAGGAAAGGGAAGCCAACAATCTGTACCATCCTAAACCCTAAACCCTAAGCCCTAAACCCGAAGCTAAACCCTAAACCCTTAACCCGAAGCCCTAAACCCTAAGCCATGCCCATGACTTGCCTCACTTCTCAACCCCGACGTGAAGCTTCCAGCCTCCCCAGAATCGAAAGATTTCCCAGCGGTTTAAGTCCGCAGAGCCAACCCGAAGAGCGCCAAGACAATGGCACTCTAGAATCCGATAAAAGGGGTTTAGGGCTTATAAGATGCCAGAAGCCCACACAACCCTAAGCCCCGCAGCCCTTGTCCCTAAAACTCAAAACCCTAAACTCTAAGGCCCCAACCCCTCAACCCTAAACCCTAAAACCCAAAAACCCCTGAACTCTAAACCCTAAACGCTAAGCCCTAAAGCCCAAACCCCTAAAACCTAAACCCCCAAAACCGTAAACCCTAAAGCCCTAAAAGCCTGATACCTGAACCCCGATCGCAGACTCGACTTGAAGAGGAAACTTAACCCTAAACCCTAATATCCACCTCTAGGGCCCTTAAGGCCCCCTTTCATGGCTCCTTTAAAAGAGCTCCTTTAAGGGTTCCTGACGTGGGGTTTATTTAGAGTTTAGGGTGTAAGGTTTAGGGTTTAGGAGAATATCACCACACCTCAGACATGACCCACATTTTGCTCGCCCGAAACCCTAGACCCTAAACCCTAAACCGAACAAAAACAAAACCCTAAACTCTAAACCTTAAAACCCTAAAACCTAAACCCAAAGCCCTAAAACCTAAGCCCTAAACCCCAAACCATAAACCCTAAAAACTAAACCGTAAAACCCTCAACCCCTAAGCCCTAAACCCTAAACCCGAAGCCCTAAACCTTAAACCCTAAGCCCTAAGCCCTAAGCCCTAAACGCTAAACCCAAAGCCCTAAACCTTAAACCCTATTTAGAAAAAACCTAAAACCCGAAGCCCTAAGCCTTAAAGCCCTAAGCCCTAAATAAGCCCTAAACCCTCAACCGGGCTGAGACGTCAGCTCTGTACCGACGGGAACGACGAGGTCCTCACACACGGCCAACCTGGCCCAGGGTTTTCAAGGGTTCGGGGTTAAGCAAACCTTAAACCCTACAAAGCTTAGGGATTTAGGGGTTTAGGGGCTAGTTTAGGGTTTGGGGTATAAGGGTTCGGGGTTCAGTAAACCCTAAACCCTACCTGTTGCCAAAAAACCCTACCTTTTTAGGGGTTCCTTACTATGGTTTCTATATATGGCCAAGGGTTCCCAAGGGTTCAGTAAAGCCCTAAACTCGGGTTTAGGGCGTCGGGTTTGGGGTTAAGTAAACCCTAAACCCTATATTGGGGTTTAGTTTAGGGTTCAGGGTTTAGGAGTTCAGTTTAGGGTTTAGGAGTTCAGTTTAGAGTTTAGGGTTAAGGGTTTGGGGTTAAGTAAAACCTAAACCCGAAAGAGCATAGGTTTAGGAGTTTGGGGTTTAGGTATCAGGTTTCCCTTAAGGGCTTAGTAAACCCCAAGCCCTATAAAGATTAGGGATTTAGGGCTTCAGGGGTTTAGGGGTTTGGATTTAATTTAGGGTTTAGGGCTCAGGACTTTGGGGTTTAGTTTAGGGTTTAGGGTTTAGGGGTTTGGGGCTTAGCTCAGGGTTTAGGGTTTAGGAGTTTGGGGTTTAGTTTAGGGTTTAGGGTTTAAGGGTTTAGGGTTTAGGGGTTTAGGGCCGTTTCCCCTAAGGGCTTATAAGGCCTGGGGAAGTCGCGTGGGTCTTGCTTGGGGTTTCGGGTTTGGGCATCCCGCTCTCTCAGCAAGAAAACCCTTAGATTGCATACCTTGAAACCCTAAATAAAGCCCAAAGAAAAACACTGACCCCTTCAACCGTACAAAACCCTGCACACCGCAATGACCGAGAGCCCTTGGCTTTTAAAGGATCCCTACGTCTCTGAACCGCAGCTCTCGAAGGCAAAGCCTTGAACCCAGTTCCTAAACCCCAGAACCCACATCACTTTTCCTACAACTCTTACTTTGCTTCTATAAGTAGCATACTGTCTCAGTATGCCGGGGATTTGGAACGATCATTCGTGCAAGATGACCTGCAATCTTGGTCATCTTGCCCCACTTGACTGGAGGGCCGGGGGTCAAGATCAACATACGGTTTGGGATTTAGGTCATCTTGGGCTAAATGGTAAACTAGTCGGGCAAGTGGGGCAAGGGGGGCAGGATGAACAGGATTGCAAGATGACACGGTCATCTTGCCCCCCCGCCCCCAAGATGACCAATATGACCAATAACCAGTGGCCGAGCAAGATGACCAAGCTGACAAGATTGCCAAGATTACCGGAACAAATCCCTAAACCCTAAACCCTAAACCCTAATCCCTAAACCCTCATTTCCCGGCACAATGTACTATCGCATGTATTGGCAGGTCCCTTCCAAGCGGGCCAGGAAGGCGCTTCTGGCTCCTGGCGGTGCTTTGGGGTCGTGGGATCTATACTTGGGTTGCTGTCACTGAACTCAACCAAATTTTCCATAGTTAGTAAGGAAACCCTATCATTATCTGTGTATATATATATATATATCCCCAATATGGTAACTTAAATTAAGCTCCTTAGCAGCAACCCAGATACTTAGAGGTTCATGTCAAGTTTTACCAGGAGCTGTACTGCAGAACAGCCTCTACCTGGAGGCTCATTGGGGGAGTTATAAGTAGGGTTAGCAGGTTCTATCTGCAGTATACTATAGCCATCCTACTATGGCCCCACTTAGAGTCACTATATAGGTGCCCATGCACCTGCAAGTGCGCTTCGACGGATACGGAGGGTTTAGGGGTACTGCACGGCTCAGGGGTTCAGGGCTTCGGGTTCATGGCTTGGCTAGATGGCTGATATAGAGGCCTTAATGATTAGATTAGGTTTTTTTGGAGGGGGTTCTTTAAAGGGTTCCCGACAGGGTTCTATAAGGGCTACTATACCGGTTTAGGGTTTAGGGGCCTTAATGATTAGATTTGGGTTTTGGGGTAGTTTCTACTATAAGTATAATGAGGAACCCCCACATTGGTAAGTATGTAGGCTTCTATATTAGCTTGTATCTCTGGCCACCGCAAGATGTCATATGCTGCGGAAGGACGAGGCTTAGCTAGAATCCTGGAGAGACTACAACTATTTCCCCGAATTCGTGGGGATACCCAACTTTTAGCGCGGTTCGCACTAGGGTCCCTCATCTTCTGAAACTGCCTGGTTGCTTGCTTATGTCATTCTTGGGCCATGATTGCAACAACCATCGTCATAACCATGAGCATGATAACCATCGTCATCCTCATCGTCCTCACATTCACCGTGCCCATCAACGATCACGGCTCCATCGGCACGACCACGCATCTGTGATAATAGTCACGGACATCTAACTAACGGTGCTATTGTTTCCCATAACACTCCAAACAGGCCGAAACCTGCACCATTACCATATCCAGACTTTAGATTTCGAAGTAGGCATACATAAGTGTTTAGTTGGAATGTTGGGATTCGCACACGCTCCCCCCTAAGTCTAGATCATGATCCCTTGAATACCCCAAAACCTGCGTGTATGTAGCCTCGAAAGCTGGTTCCTTGTTGGGGCTATATTTTAAAATGATCATATTCAATCCTTATTGGGTTTCAATATAACAAAAATGTCAACTTGTATCCGACAAGGACCCAGAAAACCTACTTTGTTTCAGGACACATATAAACCAAAACCCTACACCCTAAACCCTAAACCCATATAAACAAATCATGACAAGGACACCGAAAGAAAGGTCTCCTGTGGCTCGGGCAAATGCTGAATACCAAACCTCCGACCTTACCTCAGGCCTAGCAAACACCGAATACAGGGGCCTTCACAAACAAAATGGTGCTTTCGGGTATGCTACCGTCGAATTTTGCTTATTCTTCTCACATCCTTAAACCCTAAACCCTAAACTCTAAACCCTAAAACCCTAAACCATAAACCCCTAAACCCTAAACCCTAAAGCCTAAATTCCGAAACCCTAAACCCCAACTCTTTCAGACCCCACCCGAAACTGAGGGTCGCACCCCAGAGGGAGGCAGGGAGCTCTGTGAACCCATCTGGCTGCCTTGGCGGCAGTTTAGGGTTTAGGGTTTAGGGTTTGGGGTTTAGGGGCACCCAAACTCAAAGGCTCCATGGGCTCTTAGGGGTTAGGGCTTAAGTTCAAGAAAGTTCTTTGGGGTTAGGGTTTAAGTTCAAGCAAGTTCAAGAAAGTTCTCAGAAGTTTGTGTTGTTTTTCTTTGTTCTTGGTTTTTGTTTTTAGTTGTTGTCGTGCTTGGGTTTTGCTTTTTTAAGTTTAAGGCGTTGTGTGCAGAGGTCTCTGAATTCAAAGGTGCCAACGACGACGCAGAGTCTACTCGGAGGCACCGAGTCGGAGATTTGGGACCTGAAATCCTACTGTTGGGGTCCTCGGACGTAACTGGGAGTCTAGGGTTTGGGGTCCAGGGTTCAGGGTTTTTGGGGTTTAGGGTTTAGAGGTTTAGGGTTTAGGGTTTAGGGTTTAGGGTTTAGGGTTTAGGGTTTAGGGTTTAGGGGTTTAGGGTTTGAGGCACCTCAACCACTGATGCAACCAAGTTAACATTTACCTATGTACCCTTTGACTATGGTTACTGGCAGAGTTTTCATTCGTGACGTGAACATCCCGCCCTCGCCGCCTCAAAGGCATTGAGGGTCCAAGTCCGTTTTCAGCCCCAAAATCCGTAAACAAAAAGAGCATTTGGACCCTTAGGGTTACCTAAACCGACAAGAAACCTATGTGGACTACTTTAAGGCCAAAGTTGGATAAGTGTATATAGGTTAATGTAAGCCCTAAACCTTAAACCCTAAACCCTTGGTGTAGGGCCCGTGCTGGGCCGCGGCGCTCGCGTTGCAGCCTCAGGGGTCTTGGACTCTACCTAACATATAGTATATACTGGGTGCTACCGGCTGCTACCGACTCACAATAACTAATAACCGTCGAGAACAAGACGCCTGATCAGAGCCTTATGAATCTATGCGTGCAAATACGACTCAACTGTTATGGAGTGGGGGCAGTATACAAAGCATCTACGAAGTCCTTAAAGCACTTATGCTGGAACCCCGTTGGAATGCTAAATCCCTCAGACCTTCAACCATCAAAATTGCTGCGGGGACTCCGATGCCAGGCTAAATACTTGCCTAAGGAACACTACCTTAAGAACCCAAAACCCACTTTTTTGTAGGTTCTTATTAGAAACCCTAATATGGGATTTATAGGGACCCTACAAAAAAAGTAGGTTTTGGGTTCTTATGGTAAGCCCTAAACCCCAAACCCCAAGAAGGGCCTAAGAAGCACTCCCCGGCTTGCTAACCGGAGTTCCTGCTATCGGTTGGAAGGCCCAAAGGCTCCATGTACCTTTATAGTGGATACTTAGGCCTTAAAGGGGTCCCTATATAGGTACTTTAAAGCCTAAGGATCTACTATATGGGTACATGGAGCCTTAGGGAGGAGGCTCGTTGCCAGAGCTAGCTTTGAAGATACGGCTGCGGCGCTGCATATCGTTATGTGTGTGTGTGTGTAAAAAAACCAAATGGAATGCACTTGAATCGAACGGAAGGACTTTGAATGAATAATGTAGGGGCCTTATATTAATAACTAGAACAGGGTTTTGGGGCACATTATACTATAATTTTAACAAGGACCCCCCCCAAAAAAATAGTATAGATAACACGCATTGTTAGTTTAGTTGTTGTATGCGTATTATTACAACACCCTACAGTTTTCAAAGGACTTACACAGTAATTGGACTGGGAAACCGAGAATTCTTTTATTTAAAGGTTGAAAAGGTGAAACAAGGCATGCACGCGAGCGGCAAACGGCCAGACTCGCAGAAAAAAGGGCCAAAGCACAACAACATAACCGTCACTAAAGGATGTACCTAATGCCTAGAACTACATATAGCTGAAAGAATCCACACCACTGATTTGCGCTCTACGTAAGCAGGTACAAACGCCTAAGAAAAGCGACTACTTTTTCAAATTCTTATAAAATTTGGCTTTGGCCTTGGCTTCAGATTTAGCCTTGGCGGCGGCTTTGCCGGCAGGGCTCGCCTTGGGCGCAGCCCGCCGGGCACGTCCAATCCCCCGGAAAACCCGGTTGCGGGGCACCGGCTGCACGCACCGGTCCTTCCGAATAGGCTGACCTGCAAGGCCAAAGACAAGAACGCAGCCACCGACACCAAACCCAAACCACAGACACCCAACCGAAACACGACCCGGCACCCCCCCAACGCCCAAACCAAGAACCCAGCCATCAAGACCAAACCCAAACCACAGAAACCCAACCCAAAAGTAAGACAAGGAGCCCCGCTGCCGCTGCATGGCACACAAATGACACATGTCGCACGGCTCGCGCGTGGTGTCGTATGCCTTCCGCGGCTTCTTTGGACGCGGCTCCTGACAGGGAAGGAAGCAACCAAAACAGTCTCTCTCACCCCCCCAAGTTGCACCAGACTAGCCGCCCACCTCCGCCAGCAATTCCTCCCAGAAGGCTTGCTCGTCCAGCTCGTCATCAGTTACGGAAATGATGACCTCGGATGCAAAGACGCGAATGCACTGACGAAACCACAAGCACGCACGCAGCACAAGACCAAGGAGCGGGGTCGTCGGACGATCCAGACGCGAGCTCCTCACGCAAAAGCAGCAGCGAAGCCGAAACCGCGGGACCAAGGAGCACCGCCCCCCAAAGCTAAGCCCAGCACCACCGGCGGAAGTGGCTCGGGCGCGAACACATCCAGATGGACCTGATCCAAAGACGCAGCCACAGCCACAGAAGCAAAAACATCCCAAACACTTAGTCCAAGAAACCGCCAGGATGTGATCGAACTGTGTTGCCTCACAAAGAAAGACAGCTGCACAACAGACTTCCAACCCGGCACGACAAGCCCAAACCACTGAGTCACTGACGTCATTCTCGGCCAAGGCCGGGCCGTGAGGGTGAAGCAGTGGGAGGGCAAGGGAAGGGGCGAAGTGGGAGTGGTAGTAACTGGAGTGCATGGGGGAGTGGGGTGCGGGTGGCTGGTGAGGTGGCGTGGGAGGGGTAAGTGGAGCGGTGATGCTCACGTCCCGGCAAAAGTAGTTTGGAGGAGCGACGACGTTGCCGTTGACCTCGACATCCAAAAAAAAAAACGAAACGACGAGGAGACAGACAGAGGCAGAAGACAAAGCGAGTTAGCACAACCGAAACCAAAAAAAGTCGTCACAACAACAACACAAACCTAGACAGGAGTACGGAAGCGCGGACCAAGATACAATAAGGGGAGGTGTGGTGGGGGCCACCTCACCCTCCGGCAAGTCCTGCCACTGATCGCCGTCCTCGTTATATCCACCAACAAGCAACACACACAAACATGGCAAAGAAGAAGCACGCACAAGCAAAACCAGCAGACAAGCCAAGTCACGTGGAGGCCCAACTCCCAGTCCTCGAATACCTCAGAAACGCAGAAGTCTAGAGCAAACAAAAACGCAACCAAGAACGCCAGACAAACATCGCGAGCAACAACCGAAAGACAATACCGGGACGCTCCAACACCAGCTGGCGGTGAGGACGCCGGGGCCTAAGCTGCAGACCGTGGAAACCCAAGCCTTCACCCGCCAACCCCAAACCCAACAAAACGCAAGTAAAACACCCTAGCAAAAGCAAGGCAGAGCAAAGCCAAGCGGCTGGAAGCGGAAGCTCCTCCTCGTCGTCGTCCTCGTTAGATCCAGCAACAAACAACACATACAAACATGGGCAAGAAGAAGCACGCACGCTCGAAGCCGGCGCACAAGCCAAGTCACGTAAAGTTCCAGCTCCCAAGCCTCGAAGACCTCAGAAACGCAGAAGTCCAGAGCAAACAAAAACGCAACCAAGAGGCCAGACAAACAGCGCGAGCAACAACTGAAAGACAATGCCGGGACGCTGGAGGCGGATACGCCGGGGCCTAAGCTGCAGACCGTGGAAACCCAAGCCTTCACCCGCCAACCCCAAACCCAACACAACGCAAGTAAAACAGCCTAGCAAAAGCAAGGCAGGGCAAAGCCAAGCAGCTGGAAGTGGCGGCTCATCCTCAGTCCAAAACAAGCAGTCAAAACAAAAAGGCGAGGGGAACAGGAAACAAAGAGCCCCAACCCCGAGTGAAGCCAAGCCACCAGCTCGTACTCCTCTTCGGATGGGGTGGCAGGGGCCTAAGCTGCAGACCTAGGAAATCCAAGCCTCCACCCCTCAAGCCTAAACCCAACGAACCGCAAATTGGACAGCCTAGCAAAAACAAAAGGTAAGTCAACGCCAAGTTGCTGGAAAAGGCGCAATCTCCTCAATCAAGGACAAGCAGTGAAAACAAACACAGGGAAAACAGAAAACCAAAAGCCCCAACCCCAAGTAGAAGCCAAGTCGCCATTTCCTCCACCTGAGCGGCCACCATGCAAGAACACGAAAGAGTGGCAACGACCCTCAGGACGAAGGCAAAACAAGACTTCATGAGGCCACTGAGTGGCCGGACTCATTGCACGTGTCTTGCTCCTACGCACCGGCATGAAGCCCAAACCACCCGGAGAGAGCTGCATCTCGGTGCCCCAGCAGCCGGCGGCTTCTTCTCAGCCCTAAAGTCGTTGCGGCCCTTAGTTTTCACTTGATTTCGCGACTTTGGGGCGTGCCGTCCAAGGCGACGGATTCTCTGGTGCATGGGCTCGCGATGAAAGCAAACACCGCCCAGGACGATCCAAAGCAGAATGCTACTGACTACGAAGATATCCCATGGGTCAAGGGATAAATTCGCGCAGTTGGGTTGAAACAGGTTCCGCCGGGCAGCCGTTATTTAGGGCCCCTACATTAGAATGTAGATGTCCAGCCTAGGGATTCACCGGCAAACCAACGAATGGCCAGTGCTAACCCCCGACCTCCCCCCCCCCCCAAACTAAAAGCCCCCCTAAACCCTGAACCTAAACCATAAACCCTAAACCCCCTAAACCCTAAACCTTCCTGAACATGAAACCCTGCAACCTACACCTCAACAGCTTCTGCTCTTCACTACATGATGAAATCCTTTGGTCACCTTGGGCCCGCCAGCAAACAAAGATTCCTCGTAACCTAGTACTGCTGCTACCAGCACCACCAGCACCACGACGACGACTACTGGACTACTACTACGATGACGGCTACTACACCTACGCGATGCCGACACCACCACGACCACAACGAGTTCTACTACCAGAGTTAAGACCAGTGACAAGAAAGTCAGCTGCTGTTCTTTTCCCACAGAAGCCGGAATGCAACAGCCTTGTCTGAAACCCTAAAGGTTTACCTAAGGCTCCATGTACACAACTACTAGATCCGTTAGCCCCAAGCCCAAAGTACCTGTAAAGGCACTACTTTATGAAGCCAAAGTATATACTACATACCCTAAATCCCTAAACCCTAAACCCCAAACGCTGAACCCTAAACCCTGAACCCTAAACTCCTAAACCCCAAACCCCCAATAGGTACACGGACCCTTCGGCATTCCTCAGAAGCCATCACGCCAAACCCTGGACACCATCGGGTTGAGGGTTTAGGGTTTAGGGGTTTAGGGGTTTCGGGGTTTAGGGTTTAGGGTTTAGGGTTTAGGGTTTAGGGTTTAGAGTTTAGGGTTTAGGGTTTAGGGAAGCTCAACAGTAAGGTACTTTGACAATTCCGATAAGGACGTCCGGCCGGTCGGCCTGTACCCTAAGCCCTAAACTCAAAGCCCCTAGCGAATCCCTGACCCCAAATTAGGGTTTAGGGTTTAGGGTTTAGGGTTTAGGGTTTAGGACCCCAAATCCCTAAACCCTAAACCCCCGAAAAAAGCTAATTCATTCCCTAGGCTCTACACCCTAAAGCCTCTGCTCTTTTGGCTCCTCTTCGTAGGGACCCAGCAGTTGCGGATATCTTGAAGTCAAATTAGCTGGGTTGGCCCTTAAACCCTCTGAAAACTATATATATATATATTTATATCAAGGGCCTCTTATAAACCCAAGTAAGGAAAATACACAATGCCTCAAAAACCAACCTAGTTTAGAACGGCTTTTTCTGCACTGAGGCGGAGGCCCTTTGTTGTGAGAAGGACCAGGTCTGGGAAGCTTTGTTTAGAGTTTAGGGGTTGAGGGTTTAGGGTTTAGGGGTTTAGGGTTTAGAGTTTCCGGGTTTCGGGTTTGGGGGTTTCGGGCTTGCAGGGTCTTGGGGTGTAGGGTTTAGGGGTAGAACAGCGGTTTAGGGCTTTTGGGGTGTAGAGTTGCGGGGTTCAGGGCGTTGCAATTAGTTCATGCGTAGAGCTTTAAGATTCAACGCAGCAAAACCCAAGGTTTAGTGTCAAATAATAACGGTTTCGGGTTTAGGGTTTAGAGGTTTGGGATTGGAACTTCGGAAATGGTAGAAGAGCAGAACCGCTGCCCCCCTATTAGTACCTACGCGCAAAATAATTTCAACTGCCTTCGGAACGGCAGTCTTCATGTTGCGGGAGGGTGGGGGGGGGGTGTGGTGAGCAAAGCTTCGAGTTTTGCTCCGCCTCAGCACTGGCATAGTTTAGGGTTTAGGGTTCAGTGTTTAGGGGTTTAGGGGTTTAGGGTTTGGGGTTTAGGGTTTAGGGTTCAGTGTTTAGGGGTTTAAGGCTGATGGTACCCCGTCGCAGCATTACTAGCAGTACGATTCGTAGCCGTAATTAGTCGCCAGTGACACATAGTGACACCATCTTCGATTCCATAATTGACACCCCACGGACGGACACTGGAGGCGCGCGTGTAACGAAGTAATGTAGAAGCCGGATTGAACATGCCTGTTCAGTTAAGCCGGATAGTACTGGGTATCTTCCATGCGAAGGTTGCTACAACAGAAATTGTTCACAAGCCTGAGCCCTAAAACCCTGATGTAAAAGATCCATGGTGCAACAGCTGGACATCCGGAGCAAAAGCAATAAAACTCTAGAAACCTCGGACTTCACCTTCTGCACATGCTTGCAAAAACCCTCGCTAAATCCACCGACATTTCTCTACAACCAATGCAATTCCGGGCGGGCGGCATCTCTTTGTACGGGCTGTCCGAAAACGGGCTTCTGCACCTGCAACAGCACTATGTGACTCTGTGAATGGTACAGATTTCGCAGGGTTTGATAGGTTTGATGGGTTGTGCACTACACGGTTTTAGACATTCTGTCCGTGGTATTGCTACTGCTGATACTGTCATTTCCGCGAGAGCTTCAAGTCATGTTGTTGCAACGGAACTAAGACAAGGGGGTACTGCGCGGTCACCAAAGAAGACTGTTACCTGTCAAACTCCATGAAAATTAATTACAGTAGTTACTTAGTTCGTCTTGTGGACCTTCGTGATGGAAAACAAAGGTATTGGCTTTGCGCTTCGGGTATTCTCAAAGAGCACCATGCTACAGCTGGGGTTACAGTTAATCCGAACCGCCTGAATCATAAAACTAAACTCCTGACACGTATTTGGGTAGTTCTCTAAACTGGGGACCCTTTTAGGGGTCCTTTTTATAAGAGTGCCGTACCATATTGGTGACTTATAAAAAGGGACCCTGGTTTAGAGAACTAACCATTTGAGCCCATTCTCGAAGAAGTCCGAGCTGCCCGAGCAAGCAAGTAGAAGCCACCGACGAATAGCACCAGAGCCATCGCAGCCTGAGGATGAAGGGGACGAGCATTCGGCTTAAACCCCAAAGCCCAAACCCTAAACTCTAAACCCAAAACCCCGAACCCTATCGGAATCATGTTGTTTTAGGAAACACTCAAAACCTCAACCCTATAAACCCTAAAAAACAAAACCTGTTGAAATGCTTCTCACTGCATG